GGCTTTGGGTTTAGGGTTTTAGGGGTTTAGGGGTTTAGGAGTTTAGGGGTTAGGGGTTTAGGGTTTAGGGTTTAGGCGTTTAGGTTCAGGGGCTTAGGGTTTAGGATTCGGGGTCTAGGGCTTTAGGTTGAAGAGATTAGGGTTTAGGGTTTAGGGGTTAGGATTAGGGTTTTGGATTCAAGGTCTAGGGGTTTAGGTTTAAGGGTTCAGGGCTTAGGATTCAGGGTTCAGGGTTTGGGGTTTAGGGTTCAGGGTATAAGGGTTTAGGGTGTAGGTCGTTGTCAGTGCTCTTAGGTGCTTTCACGAGGGTTTTATGAGTTCAGGGCTTGAGAACCGGGAGTGGGGGGTTTCGGGGTTTGGGCTTCGGGGGTCTTTGGGAGTTCGGGTTTTATCTTTGCGGACATCGGAGTTTCAGCTTGAAGTTAAGGCATTGAGGGTTTAGGGCGTAAGGACTTGAGGTATGCCAATGTAGATCCTCAAACAGCGGAAGAACACGATCACGACCACGATGACCACGACCACCAGGACACTAAGGCATCCGAGACTGCTCCTGTAAAGCATCGCTGAAATATTGGTCCTGCAACCGGTCCAGGATTGATGTCGGAACAATAATCACTATTGCTATGAATATGTTGTTGCATGTTGTTGCGAGTGCGATCGTACATGTAGTCAACAGTACTACAGATGACGATTTGGCTGCAACGACCATTTCCTTCTCAGCACCACCCTTGCTACACTGTCGTTACGCTGTGATGAATTATCCCTTGTATTTCTTTGAACCCAGGGATGAATTACAAGGTGAATACAAGGTGTCTAAAAAGTGATCCGGGTGTTCTGGCAAAAGGTGATTCGGAGGTTCAAGCAGCAAACAAAGGAGAATGAAAGGTGAACCAAAGGTGAATTGAAGGTGAATAAAAGGTGAATGAAAATGAACCAAAAAGTGAATCTAAGGTGGATGAGAGATGAATAACAGGTGAACAAAAGGTGAACAAAAGGTGAGCAAACGGCGAGCCGCAGGTGAATGAAAGGTGAGTAAAAAGGTTGATAAAGGTTGTCAACCCCCCCTGAACGGTGCCTGAACCCTATGGATATGTTGTTACTCGTGTTTGTGTTACCACGACTACGGCGATGGAGGACAAAGACCCTGCTCGCAAGATGGCTCTGTCCAACTTCTCGTTGTCTACACGCATTCTTTAGGAAACGCTGTTTCCGTGACGATGTGGCGGTAATTATGATCGTGATGTTGTTGTTAATGATGATGATGATAAAAATGATGAATGTGATAGTGATGGTGAAGGTGATGACGATGTTGAAGATGCTTATTATGATGGTGATTTCTGGCTACTGACTGTTATTGGTGATAGGCTTCGTTCCGTTGGTACAAGTACTACTGATCTGAGTGCTGCGGTGTCAGCCACTCTTTCCAACATCTCCTTCAACTCTCAACCACCCGATACCTGAAACCCCAACATGCCTCAACCCTAAACCATAAACCCTGAACCATAAAACACCCTAAACCCTGAACCCTAAACCCTAAACTCAAAATTGCCTCAACCCTGAACCCAAAACCCTAAATCGCCTGAACCCTAAACCCTAAATCGCCTGAAACCTGAACCCTAAACCCTAAACCCCCTAAACCCCCTACACCTAAACCCTAAATTGCCTGAACCCTTACCCTAAGGGTCCAAGTACCCATTATTTAAGGACTTTGGGGCCTTTTGGGGTACCTAAAACCATAAATAAGGACTACGTGGACCCTTAGGGACCCTTAACCCTGCACCCTAAACCCCCTAAACCCTAAACCCCAAATGGCCGGAACCCTGAACCCTAAACCCTAAACCCTAACTCGCCTGAACCCTTAGGTTCGTGGGGCGAGGGTTGAGGGTTTAGGGTTGAGGGTTTAGGGCTTCACTTCGGAGGTGCCAAGATGCTAAAATCCTGACATCCAAACCCCCAAAAAGGCCGCCGACAACGCTCGTAACTGGAAGGAGGCCCGACATAAACATATAGGGGCCTTAGAATTAGGTTTAGGGTTTAGGGTTTAGGGTTTAGGTTTTACGGGCCTTCATAGTTAGAGTAGGGTTCCTTTAAAGGGATCCTTAAAGGGGTTCTATAAGGCATCTATGATAGGGTTCTATGTTAGGGGCCTTCATAGTTAGAATAGGGTTTTGGGGTAATTTATACTATAAGTAAAAATAAGGAACCCTAACAGAAACTTGGCTGACTTCTGAACCCCTCCAAAAAGTTAAACTTTTAGTCTCTTTGTTACAGTTCATATAGAAACCCAAAAAGTTAAAGTCCTAAGAGCCAACCAGAAGAACCCCAAGGAAATATTGGGAATTATTTGGGCTTCTACATTAGAGGGATGCCTCCTCCAAGTGCCGACGTAGCTCGGTCCGAACATAATCACTGAAGGCAGCCTGCTCAGGGATTCTGACTTCGGTTTAGGGTTTAGGGTTTAGGGTTCAGGGTTTAGGTTTAGGGTTTAGGGTTTTAGGGTTTTAGGGATTTAGGGATTTAGTGTTGTCCCTAATGCACCACGTTTTCAAAGTACAGGACCTCACTTCCTTAGGGAATGTCCCTGGCCTTGCTTCCGTACCACTTGGTGATGGCCGCATGGATGAAGATTCCTGAAGATGGGTAGCTCTCAACATTAGGGTCCCCTTTAAGGCTTTAAGGCAATATAATCGGGGTGTATGGGTAGCTCTCAAAATTAGGGTCCCCTTTAAGGCTTTAAGGCAATATAATCGGGGAAGATGGGTAGCTCTCAACATTAGGGTCCCCTTTTTAAGGTCCTTTGTACAAGAATGCCATACTACATCTGGGACCTAAAACAGGACCCTGATTTAGAGAACTACCCATATGGGTGGTTGTCAAAATGATGGTCCCCTTTTTGGTCCTTATTATAATACGGCACCTATTATTTAGGGTACCCTAAAAGGGACCCTGATTTAGAGAACTACCCATATCAAGAACTGCCAACTGAATCCGCTTTCAAGAGCTTCAGGAGGCTTCTCAGCACGTCGCACAAGGATCCACAAGGCACCTATCAGATGCAGCCTAAACTCCAAAGCCCGGAAGATGCACCTTACGAGCTGAATTCGGATGCAGTAAGTTGAATGCTTCGGCTGGCAAGCTTCCGGCCAACATAGCCTGCAGCTTAGCACTTGGGTCCGACAGTGCGAAGCATACTGTCCCCACGTAATGTATGCAGGTTTAACAACGTTTATACGTGATGAGTTGGTAAGCTGTACACTTTCAGATTAAGGGCTGTGAGGTTCAGGGAGACTGAATCAGGGGGCAAGTGGATGCTGCCGCCCGCAAAAGCATCCGTTGTGATCATCGGAGGCATCAATAGGTGGTTCCTGCAGATAGGCCTGCATAACCCAAAGCCGGTAACCTTTAAGCCCGTCTGTACTGCAGCCGTGGTTCGATCGAACTCCTCGGTGCAATGCGCTTGCTCTACATCGAAGGCCTCTAACTGGGCAAAGAGGTTGAGCTTCTCACGGAAGTTCATCCGAAGCCCATAAACGCACAATGCCCAGGGCAGCACAAAGAAGAGGTAGCGCACGTAGGCCAGGGACGTTATGCTGTCAACCGTCCGGGACGCCAGTAGGATTGTCTGGTAGGCATAAGTCGCGAGAAGCAGCTGAAACAGAACTCGTTCGATGAACAAGGGCCTGAACGCAATTTTGCCACCAGGGTTCACTTTCCTGTATGCTGCTAGCTCGAATACACACCACAATCTAGTCCTTGGCTGACGAGGCTCAATAGCCAAATCTCCGTTGTGGGTATACGGTATACGAAACTCCAACACAACGCACAGAAGCAACATCTTCTTTTCCTATTCGGAGTCAGATACGGCAGTGACCAAAGGACTCGCATTTCGTCAGCCAAACTCAGGAAACCTGCAATTCCATACACGCCACGCTCCATAAGCTTGTGGTCCAGCCTGGGATGTTTGTTGAGTCTGGGGTTTTGTGATGTCCTTTGGTGAACATCCCGTAGACAACTAATCACTATGCCTAACTACTTGCATTTCGTGTCCGCCTCAGCACGACGCATCAAGAGCCAAAGCCCTAAGGCCTGAACCCTAAACCCTAAACCCAAAACCCTAAATCTCTAAACCCTGAACCCTAAAACCCTAAACCCTAAACTCCAAATTGAAACTGTAAACCTTGAACCCTTTAGCCTAGCTCTCTACTAAGCCCTAAGGCCTAAACCCTAAACCCCAAACCTCAAACCCTAAACCCTGAACCCCAAACCTCTAAACCCTGAACCCTAAACCCCAAACCTCTAAACCTGAACCCTATACCCCTCGCTATCTACCAGGCAGCTGATGTAAGCCCTGAACCGTAAACCCTAAACATAAACCCTAAACTCCAAACTATAACTCTAAACCTTGAACCCTTTAGCCTAGCTATCTACCAGGCAGCTGATGTATGCTGGCAACATCAATGAAGCAGACATCTGGCTCGCCACACCACTGCGGCCTGCGTCGGGTGCCGCGTTCCGGGCATGATGAGTGTTTCCAAGGGTTTAGGTCTTTTGCGTCACCCTTTTTAGGGTTTAGGGTTTTCAATTCCTGAAACCAAGGGTTTAGTTTTTTGTGTCACCCTTTTTAGGGCTTTGGGGTTTAGTTTTTTTTGTCACCCTTTTTAGGGTTTAGGGTTTAGTTTTTGTGTCACCCTTTTTAGGGTTTAGGGTTTAGTTTTTGTGTCACCCTTTTTAGGGTTTGGGGCCTTCAATTCCTGAATGGGTCCCGGAACACTCACCCGGCAGCCAACTTAGAACTTTCACTCTTTTGGGTGTTCCTTTTATTATAACTGCAGTATACTGGCCCCCAAGACCCTATTCTAAGTAGTAAGGCTCTTAATATAGAGCCCTATCATGGCTCCCTTATAGAACCCCTTCACCATCCCAGCATATTCCCAACAGGATTCCTTTAAAGGAACCTTTTATTCTAACTACTCAGGCCCCTCTATTTTGGCGTCCGATTCGGTCTATAACCCTAAACCCTAAACCCTAAACCCTAAATCCTTTTTTGGCTCTAGTGCTTCAGGGTTTAAGCCCAGGGAGGTGCCAGGGCTCCGCTTGGTCTTTTTTGGTCCTCTTAGGGTTCAGGGTTTAGGGTTTAGGGTTTAGGGTTTGTTCCTCTTAGGGTTTCGGGTTTTTGGTTCTAGGGCGACGGGTTTTACCACAAAACGGTCCGCCTAAGAACTGATGTCGGGCTTGTGTTGTGGAGTGTTTAGGGTTGAGGCGTGTTGAATTTAGGGCGCTTAGGGTTTTTAGGGATGAGGGTGTCGGATTTCAACCTGTAGCGCCGCGATTAAGAAACTCAACCTAAGGACCTGCAAGGGACTCAACAAACGGAGGTCTAATGGCTCGTCTGAATCAAGTTTGTGTCTCTGTGGATGCACAACGTTTCGCATGTCACGGTGAGAAGAGTCAACTCATGGGTAGTTGTCAAAATTATGGTCCCTTTTGGGGTACCCTAAATAATAGGTGCCGTATTATAATAAGGACCCAAAAACGGAACCTAATTTTGACGACCACCCATGTTGCAC